AAGGGGGGGGGGGATAAACACGATTTCCACCCGGGCTGGAACGCGGAACGTATCGGTTATAGAGATGTGTAGTTTTCCCGACTCGGAGCTCGGGGCGCGGTGGTCCAGGGTACGGCACGGGCGAGGGGGTGGCGGCGGCGGGGCTCCGGCCGGGGCTGGGGGCGCCGAGCGACTTGCGGAAGGGGGCGTCGGGAAATCAATACGACGGGCGCGCCGCGCGCCCTTGCCACATCGCCCTCGCTCCCCTGGCTTCCGGATCGCTGGCCGCTGCTCAATCCCTTTATACATCCAGTTAAAGGGTGGCAAATCAAGTTTCAAAATTTCAGTCCCCTTAGTTTTCCAAAATTGATTAACTTTAGGACCACTTAGAGGCAACGAGGGACAAAAAATAGGAATTTTTAGATTTTCCAAGGTGTCTACTAAAACAGACTGACCAAAAATCGGTACTTTCACGGTACTTTTTCAGTACATTCCCAAGAAATTCAGTACCTCCTCAACGGAAAAATTCAGTTCTTTATCAGTACCTTTGACGAAATTCAAAGAATTTCAAAAATTTGAATTTCTCTCTCAAATTGCTACAATAAAACGAAAAAATTTCCGAACTTTCATGCGGAATTTCCGCACTTTTTCAGTACTTCTGAACCGCCCTTAAAAATCACTACTAGTTCCAGACTTTCCGGACTTGTAGACACCCTGTTTTCCCACCAGACTAAGAGGAAAACCAAAGCTATACGCGACAGGGAGAAATTCGCCACTTCAGCTTGCACAATTTTCCCCTGACTTCAGGGTTGAATAGTTCGCTATTCCTGACCCGAATGGTTCACCCATGCCCATCCCAACTGAAGTCGCACTTAGGCCTAGTTCTATCCTCTGGTTAGAAAGCCACTCTTCTCCAGACATCAGTTAAAAAATTCAAAATTAGAATTCATCAGTCGTTAGGCAAATTATTGTGTTTGATGTTTCGCTCAACAAGTTGCTCACCGCTCCGTTGTTCCTCTCACGAACAAACGCAGGCGACTACATTTCAAAGTAGCCGAATTTTCCCTCGCATATTGCATTTTTACGAGGAGTTGCTTGGACAAAACGGAAAATTTTGCTTACGGAAAATTTCACTAAACATTCCTGTGATCTCACGCTAAAATCAGAACAATTATGATCAAAAATTACCCGGGTACAGTATTGTAAAATAATGCATTGTTAGAGTCAATTTTGCAACCTTGGCATGGAGTTACGTTCCTCCAAACTGGAGACGACGAGTCATCCTAGGCCGAAAAGTTGAGTTAACCTCCATACTTAACCCCGGCCTCTTTCGATTGCATTGCCAGAGGTACATGTGGACTGCATTTTGCAATTAGGAACCACAATTTCTGGCTCAATTTAGGAACGACCTATGCACTATTAGTTTCCCTATGCACATAAGTGTTTTTACAGATGAGCCAGCAATTATATTACTGAATTGCAAAATGAAGTCCATATAATGTGTGCGCTCAGTACAGCAACGAATCGGAGTAATAGGGGAGGAAAATGGATACGAAAAGAAAACAAACTGCGGTGAGTATTCAAGGATGGTTGGAAAAAAGAGGACGGTTAAAAGTGGAGCACGCCGCACCGACAGAACTAGACGAAAAAAGAGTAATGAGGGCAGGGATCACGAGACGAGAGATCCTTCAGAAACAGACGGCTCACCGAGTCGGTATCATCTCCCGCTTGCGAAATGCCGTTTCCGCCTTTCGCAACGCATCGACTGCTGCGACGCAAGGCGGGAGCAATGAGCAATATTATACATATCAGGCGGATCTGCCTGCAATCGGAGCGAGATACACTCCGTCAAGAGGAGGCAGGGGGCTGGCTGGGGGCAGGCCCTCGCTCACTGCGGAGCTTCACGCGCCAGCAACATCAAGCTCACAATCAAGGACTTTATGAAGACGAGTTTTCAGCGAAAATATTGACATGTAACACTGAAATTTTTTCAAAATATTTGTGTTATTTTAAACGAGAGATACCCTGGCAATTTCCGGAAAAGATCCCTAGTAGAAAACAAAAATGCATCAGCACTATTAAGAAAAAAAATGTACGAGAAGCCAAGACAAGCGGAAGAGTTTTTAGTTTTAGAAATTCCCTGCCTCATAAATGGTGTTATTCTTTAATGTATTTATCAATTTACATAACATTTTTTCAGATCAACTTTCAGCGTGAAGTCTCTCGAAATTGATGAAAAAATGCAATGGTTCGGCTGGAGCGGGTTCTACGGCAGAATTCCCACCTTTTCCGGGGTTGAGCTAAATTCCTTGACTTTTTAAAGGTTCTCCCCGACGCTTCAAGAACTTTTTACTAAGTGAGCAGTAAGTTTTTCCCCTTTTTTTTAAAAAAAATAAAATAATAAAATAAAATACATAAATAAATTAGTCAGTTTTTGATGGACATGGATAAACGTTAAAATGCATTCCATTGTGTTCGATTAGCGGGTGTATGGTCCCAGACTCAATTCCGCCCTCTGCCGCTGGTGGTGAAAGAGCCACGGCCGGAATCCGGCCTTGCCGTTCCCCGGTGCCCGACGTGCATCTTTCAACGCATCCTCCGCAACACGTCCCCGGGCGAATCCCCCGGCTAAAACGCAGCTCCAACCAACCCCGCTGAACCTCAGGCAGAAACGCACTTCCTGTTCCCACGCAGGTAGGCAGGTCAGTCCGGTTATCTCCCAGCCTGGAGGCCTCTACAGGAACCTGCTCCGGGCAAACGTCGATGGAAGCGCGTTCCACGATGCGGCTGTAACATTGGTCGAGTCTCGAGTTCGGTTTCTACGATCAAAATAAAGGCTCGAAATGGAGCGATAAACTGAAATCTAGACAATCACATCGCAAGAACTCGGTTCAATTATTTCATTTTTATTTTCCACGATGAGGAGACTTCAAAATTTTCTCACTTCGAAAAACTCCTTGTCACGAAAAATTCCGAACACGCAGTATCATAAATTGAAAAAATGCTGTGCTTTGCCTGGAAAAAAAGTTTCACAGAGTGTCTGGTTTTTCCTCATTTTCGGAAATATCCTGATTTTTGACCGCTAAATCCTGATTTCATATTTTTTCCAAATCCTGACTTTTTGCGGAGAAAAATAAACGGACGGATAGCGGATAATTAACGGAAAATGAGTGGACGGCCGACTTTTATCGAATCCTGATTTTACGACCGATTTTTCTTTAAACCCTAATGAAGTCGGGATTAAATCCTAATAGAATCGGAATGACCCTGATGCTAGACACCCTGATTCAGACTCAGCAGCAAGATTCCCTGATTTCTCAGGCGTGGGAGGTATTTTACCTGACTTTTCACGGTTGAGAAAATCTCTAGTCTTTTCAAGAACACAGCGCTCTGATCGGTCATTAACTCAGGTTAAAGTGCGGCGGTCTCGACGACTGACTGATCTGGTTCAAATAGGCACTCGTAAGGCGCGGGCCGGTTCATTCCACGAGGTGGAAAGAGGGTGGGTGGGGATGGAGGAGGGCAAAGGGGTCGGTTCCCGCGACCCGTTACGTCACCCGGAGCCGCGACATCGCTACCTGGTGACTTAATGAAAAAGCTACCGCGACGACAGGAAAATTTAGACGGGATGAACTTACTTACGAAAGTTCCCAACTTAATAATTGAGCAGCTCGCGAGTGTGCAAAAGTGCGAAAAAGCGCGGTGGAGATCGATTTTAAGCGTCAGGTGAGGCGTCTCATGAGTTTGACGCAGAGCTTCGCTATCCTCTCGAAAAGACCCAGATGTGCCGTTAGTTTTTTGTCGAAGAATGTTTTGAAGATTTATCAGGGTTGCCATGATTTCTCTGTCTTCAAATTCCCCGAGTTTCCCTGACTATTTTTGCTTTCCCCTGGCTCTAAAATTTCAACTCCCCTTCCCCTTTTTTCAAATATTCTAACTCTTCCCGAACTTAAGATGTTTCCTTGTTCTGAGGTTGGATGATAGATAAAGGTATTCAGTGGCAAATTCAGTGGCAAAAAATAACCAGAAGGGTAAACAGTTGGAAAATCAGTGATATGTTTTAGTGATTAGTAGATGTGTCAGAAGTTCCCTGATTTTCCCGGTTTTCCAGGCCCTATATGTTCCTCATCACAACTTCACGTGGAAAATGTTAATGACGTCATCCACCGCAGTAGTGACACCCTTGGTTTCTTCCACCTTAGTTTTATTAATCAGGAAGACATATAAGCAGTGGTTACCGAATTATATAACTACTGAGAGATGCCGAGTCACCATTCCGATACATAATCGATTGCTTTCGATACACGGGCAACCGGCCGGCGAGAGGTCATCCGATGTAAACAAAGAGGCTATGACTTACTACAGGGTGTCTATTAAAACAGGCTGGCCAGAAATCAGTACTTTTACAGTACTTTTTCAGTACATTCCCAAGAAATTCAGTACTTTTTCGGTACCTTCATTTGACGAAATTCGTACATTTTCAAAAATTTGACTTTCTCGCTTAAATTGCGACGAAAATGACACAAATTCCGGACCTTCCTGTGGAAATTCCGCACTTTTTCAGTGCTTTCGGACCGCCCATAAAAAATCAGTACTATTTCCGGACTTTTCGACACCCTGTATGCACTATATATAATACATTACCATTTTGGATCTTAAAGGAGACCGAATCTCGGCGCACACCGGGCTAGGACCTCGTCGACTAGAACAGGAGCCCAGATCACTTCATTTGAATACGACTCTATGTACTTTTTGGGTTTTTGGCTTACCTTTCTATAATTGGTGTATAGGGGCCGTTCCGGTAGATGCGATCCCTGGTCCGGCCCCGAAGCGTGTCCGGGGGGCTCACGTGATACGTGGACGTCGAGCGACGGAGGTACGATGCCTCGCTCTCCCTCGACCGCTCGTAGAAATGACTAGATCGCTCGAAACTTGATATCTCCTCCTGCTTGATATTCGTCGCCGCCCTGTCACAACAAAACAAATCAAATTAATACAAAAATCCTCCACATCCGACAAGATGGGCAATCCAAGCGTACCCGGAGGTTCACTCCTTGGCAGCCGACGAAAAGTGACAAAAACATAGGTAAAATACAGGATCCCATCAACGACGATGATGGTCAACAGCCACGAAAGTTACACATACGTCATGACCTAACACTTGGGGATGTAATTCTTATTGCACTTCATATAGCAATAATTAGGAGGCCGGCCAGGTTGGCCTAGTGGTCAGCGCGTCTAACTCTAGGTCAATAGGTCCCGGGTTCGAATCCCGGTGATGGCGTCTATTTTCACGGAATTGACGAATAGATCTGCTGAAACAGATTCTCCTCGGCCCTAATCCCTGAAAATTGGAAAAGCCTGGAGCATAATGATCCCACGATGTCTACGGACACTAAACATTGTCTAAAGTTGGCTGAAGGTGCTAGACACGAAGCCATTAAACCAGCAGAAAAAAAAAATAGAAAAAAAACGGGAGTTACAATATCTGGCTCATCCATCGACACACTCGGCGGTAGTGAGAAAAAAGGCTACAATAATGAGGGATGCAGAAACCTTTGGAACTCAAGGTCTCCGCCACAGTTTTTGGACACACCGTTCGTAATTTTCGTCAGATTTTAAATGGTTGAAGGAAAATTAGTATCACGGTCTGACCAGCTTTGTGCAAATTCGCGGAGGACTTGTGCGAGTAGGAAAATTCCGAATGCCAGCCCAATTCAGACGGTTTTGACGATTCGCCTTATACAACAGATTAAAGGGTTTAGCAACTCACGGGAAAATCTATGGTTAGTTCATCATTTTCTCCATTAGTCTATAGCAGGGTGTCTACTAAAACAGGTTAGCCAAGAATCAGTGCATTCCCAAGAAATTCAGTACCTCTTCAATATAAAAATTCAGTACTTTTTCAGTACCTCCGATTGACGAAATTCGAAAAATTTCAATTTCTCGCTCAACTTGCGACAAAAATGACAAAAAATTCCGGACCTTTTCGCGGAATTTCCGCACTTTTCCTGTACATCCGGACCGCCCTTGAAAAATCAGTACTTTTCCTGGACTTTTCGGAAATTCCGGACTTGTAGACACCCTGTATATACGAACCACCCATTTCAACCAATAGGATCGCTCCATACCCCCTGTGTCGCCTTTGTCTATCGCTTTGTCTGACAATTTCAACGATCAGCTAGCTAGTCCGTGCTCAGTTTATTCCTCCGAGTAAAGAGGATTATGGTAACAGAGTAACACCGAAGTAGTTCCACAAAACTACTTCGGGCCCGGCCGCTTTTAGTTGCGTGGAGACGACTATTGGTCCTCCGCGCGCCGCTCGCGATAAATTGCTTCATTCTCTATCAATTTAGAGGAGCGGGCAGCCGAGCCGAGTCGCCCGACTGCTTTCATTCCATTTACCGACCGAGGAAAGTCAAGGCTCCATCGTCGAGGCAGATATCCCTTCACTCCGTACTTCACACCGAATCTCGTGTACCTGATGTAAAACGATCGGTATGATCTGTCGAGGTGGTCGGTAACGATTCTCCCGAGCTGGCAGAACTGGGATCTGACTATTCAAGTGCACGTAAAACGATTGATCCTCGGCGAGGTTGGCGGGCTTACATAGTGAAATTAAAAATATGAAAGAACCGAAATTTCAGTGAAATCTTTCATGGGACTTTGAAATATCCCCACATTTCCCAGGCACATTTGGTAAAATTTTCCGACAATAGGAGATATTCAGGATATTCAAGATATATTCGTTACCAAGCAAAGTTAGTGGTCCAAAACATCAAACCCATTCTTCGAGGCAAATAAAGGTGGAACGGCGAGGGCCTCAAAAAAAAAAAAAAAAAAAAAAAAAAAAAAAAAAAAAAAAAAAAAAAAAAAAAAAAAAA